TCGCACCCAAAGCGAGAATCATACCATTAGACCATCAGGCCATGTTTATTCATAATAAATCGAGCATGACTCTATGTACATCAGCTTGTCCACGTAACGCGTCACCTCGCTGACCAAGAATTCGAAGTTATCATTTCATCAATCCGCCATTGCTACCTTGTAGAGCACAGTCTATAGTTTAGAGAAATATATTTTGTTCTTTTAATAAGTGCTGAAAATCATATTTGGTAATTGTTAATAAAGGTGTCACTAAATATGTATAGGAGAATAATCATTTGGACCCTATAATTAGTCCAACCCTTCTATCGAAACATTGTAATGAATATATACATAATTGAGAGCAATTGATTCTACGGTAACAGAAGTATCATTTGGCAAAACAACCGACTTCCTACTTGCTAGAGTCTTTTACTACCGCATCAAGCAAAAGTACCGAATTGAAAGCGTCATCGCGTAACGAAAAATGAGTATTGTTTGTTTTTCCCTGGTTTGTCTCAATTTTTTTTTATACAAAATACGTACTTAAAGCTAATTTTTTATGGGCTATCTGATGCACATATTTTTATCTGAAAAAAATTTCGTTTTGTAATTATTGACGTAACGCGATGACGTTTTTTTACCATTTTCTACATTTTTTGCATATCTATTAAAAGCTTTTTCAGATAGTGATTTATTATTCAAAAACCTCTGTAAGCTATGAGTAATGTATGTTTTTATTGGTTACTAACAAATGGCCATAAGAATATAGGTGATTGGTCTAATAAGCTGATTGAACTCAATTAAAATTAAATTACCGATCAAAATCGTTTATCGTTTCTATGATATATACGTAAGGTCGGAGAAACTCAAAATTTCACTAAAAGTCTTTTCTCGATGGTTTATATATGGTTAGATAGAGCTCATAAAACTGTCTAAGAAAGTGTGCTTTAAATTTTTTTTTCATTCTTTTATATACATTAAAAACTCAAAATACTGAGGTCATTCCGTTTAGAATGATCTCAGTAATAGAATACTCTTAGTATTTTGAGTTTTTTATGTATATAAAAGAGTGAAAAAAGATTTTAAAGTACAGTTTCTTAGACAGTTTTATGAGCTCTATCTAACCACATATAAATTATTGAGAAAAAATGTTTGCTGAAATTTTAAGTTTTCCCGACCTTACACAGGCATTGCTATACATATTAGGGAAACTAGATGACTCTTTTTTTACAATTTTTTTTGTATTAAAAGGATTAATAAACACAGCATTTAACATGTGTATACTTTAATCCTTAGAATAAAAATAACATCTGGTCTTTACAGAGGTGTACATATGACAAAATGAAGCATAAAAAAACTATTACAAAAGTCATCGTCATCGCGTTACGTTAATGAAACTGATCACTCTTCAAAACAAGGGGCCTGTTTGGAAATTTTTTTTATCTGTTGAATACCTCAAACTCTTAGCTACATACCGTCTATGGGACGTTTCTTTTAATGTAGTATACATTCGCAGAAAAATAAAGAACAACCATGTCACCCTCAACTTTTTGTCCCTTGTTCACCATCGCGTTACGTCACATATTTTTGCTATAATTTTCAAACGGTTTGTTCAAATGAGTTCATATTTTCAGAGGTTTGGGGGAAGACTGAGGCACATCTTCCACCGAAAGCACGAGCCTTCTAGACAACCTCATTGTTGAGAAAAGTTAATAAAACTGTGGACAAAGCGTCATCGCGTTACGCTTGGACAAGCTGACATATATAGCTGACTTGTAAAAAACGATTTTGCTTCGTAGAGCCAAAATAACAAAAAGGACCTGGCCGATGATCGAAACCGGAGCCTCTCGCACCCAAAGCGAGAATCATAGCATTAGACCATCAGGCCATGGTAATCCATGATAAACTGAGCAAAAATACATATACATAAATAAGGAGCTTGTAAAAGAACAATTTCGCTTCGTGCAACACATCAATACCAAAATCACAAAAGAAAGAGCCTGACCGGTGATCGAAAGGGGACTGGACCGGTGGAGTCGGTTAAACCGGCCAGATTTTGCCGGTTGCAGATTGTTGAGAAAATTCTTTAATTCTTCATGACTATCGTAAGACATCTCGTCTCTGTTCTTCATACTTTTTGTGAACAAAAAAATGAGTACAATTTTTTTAAAAGTAAAAGTATTTACTGAAAAGGGAAACGGACGAATTGTCACATATGACGCGCTTGTATGCTTTGATCTTTTCTTTTGACATTTTAATCTAGTTGTCTGTTGTGAATAGTGCCCGGCGTGACCATAAAGCCGTGACCCAAGAAAAAGAGATTGTTCGATAGTGATTTTCATGTTGATTATGACAAAAATACTTTTGATTTGATCTTTTGTATTCAGAATTTTCTCCTCTACAAAATGATGTATAAAACTTGACGATACAATGATCTATACGAGAGAAAACAACGACATATTTGTCATGACCAGTTCTAGTCACGGTCAGTCACGGAAATTTCTGTTCACGACAAATGTGTCGTTATTTTCTCTCGTAGAGATCATTGTATCGTCAAGTTTTATACATCATTTTGTAGAGAAGAAAATTTTGAATACAAGGGATCAAATCAAAAGTATTTTTGTCATATTCAACATGAAAATTACTATCGGACAATCTTTTTTTCTTTGGTCACGGTTTTATGGTCACGCCGAGTACTAGTTTTGACATGATATTACACAAGTGTAATTAAATTAAGAAGAGAAAAGAGCACTATATATATTTGTATGAATAGAACCATATGCCTGATAAATTTTAACAAATTAAACAGATACATTCATCACTATTATTGTAATAATGCGAATGATAAAATCTATAAGTCACATTAAACATATTGATACATACTATGTAATTCTTGTTATTAACCGACTGTGATTGAACTCTTGATCTATATTTGCATTCTGATTATATTTTAATAATTTCAAGGTCAAGAGAATTATATTAAGTACAATAATTTTTTATTTCCGTGTTAATAATGAATATGGATGATCTTACGGGACAACAAATTCAATACAAATTAGAATCCAGTTAAAAACGAAAAACGTAACAATTAAATATGGAAAACGATTCATCGTTAATTTGAAAAAAATGGAAATGATGCAATTGATTTACTGGAAGGATGGGTTGCCTGTAATCATTGTTATATGGCTTATAGAACATATTCTTAAAAAGATGCTCATGGTAAACGAAAAAATTTTGGGAATAAATTGTATACATGATCATTTAAAACATTGTAAATGGAATCCAAAAAGGAATTCAGCTGATAATTAAGGACAAATCATTCAAACAACAACATCTCTTATTCAACCCAAATCCGCTTTTTACAAAAAAGTATTATACCAGAAAAATATAAATTAAAAGTTAAAGATGCTTAGCTAAAATGTTTTTCTTGTTAGTTCATATTCATTCTAGTTATTAGAAAACGATAATATTTTGAAATTAGTTCAAACTGGTATTGAAATTGGAGCTAATATTGATTTAGTAGGTATCCATGATATTTTTTTATGGAAGACAAATGATTCGTGAAGAAGCATTGTCGAAGTTTCATCAATGTACTGATTAAGTACGTTCGCTGTTAGAAGAACCAATTAAGCAACATTGTGTATCAGTTACGGCTGATCTTTGGATTGATGATTTATGGAAGAGAACTTACTTAGATTTTACAATCTTCTTTGCTAATAATATTTCCGAATTAAATCATACATTATTACAATACACACATTTTGAAGAAGAAAAATCTGGAATTAATATTTGGTATGAAACTGAAGAAATTTTCAAATCATTTAATTTATCATTTGGTGATACGCCTGTTAATACTTATCAGGGATCAAATATGGTTAAAGCTCTAAGTCTAACTGGTGAAGTAAGATATTCGAGTTTATATCAATCAGACAATGCATTACTGGCTTTATTACGTCAGCGTGATGAGCAACATCGACTTGTACGTATTGATCCATAATTATCATGTGAAATCAATAAGTTTATGGAAAAATTTAATTTGATCTTTGACAATTTAGAATTTTTAAATCAACTTACTTTGCAAAATATTATTCCAAGCTATTATTCAATGCTTGAATATTGTATGATAGATGACAAACGAAAGCATTCAATTGTCAATTTATTAGAAGCTGAAATTGCTAAAGAACTTCTTGACACATATTGGACATCAACAACACAATTGCATTGGATTGCAACCTATCTAGACCCTACATTCAAAAACTTATTGTTTGTTGCACATTAGTTATTTTTAGAGGAACAGAGGAAATTAATCAAAGAAGGTATTCATATTTTTGTTAATGCTTACAACAATGGTATTTTATCATCAGCAACATTGTCATCATCATCATCAAATGAAACTAATTCATCACCAATAGGAAAAAAAGAAGAAAGGTCTGTTTGCAATAATGCGTAATGGAGGAACGCCAGGTACTTCGATTAAAGTTTCAGCAAATTCATTTAAGAATGAAGTTCCGCGGCAAACTCAAATTTATGGTAATACATCGTATAACTAATCTCAAGACAAAAATTCATTTTTATTTTGATGTGGACAACAACACACTTTGCCGATTATTCTAGAAAACATTGTAAAATCTGTGTCTATTACACCAGCATTCTCAGCAGAATCTCAGCAACATTTCTCAATGGTGGGATGCATTGTTACAGAAGAAAGGTCCCAAGTGGAACCTGAATGTGTAGAATTAGTGGATGTATGAAAAACGGCATGTTTGAACAAGATGTAGCCTACGTCAAAATAATAACACTTTTTCTAAATTGGCTTCTTATGATTAAAATTAAATATGTGATAGTATATTTTTGTGTTTTTTTGCCATTCATGTATTTGATTGCTTGTTTTCGTATATGTATACATATTATTTCTTGTTAATTTTGAATCAAAACAATAAGAGAAATAAAAATGACAGCTTGATTTTAGTGGAAAAAAAATAATTTTTCGCACAGAAGGAACTCAATTTTGAAAACTTTTGTTTGAACTTTTCATATCAAAATCTGCTTTATTTCCAACTAGCTTAGTCGCCTGACATTCAACATATATGTACCAAGCTATATCATCTCAACAACACATAAAAAAGATTCCTGTAGCCATCTTTTTAAACGCGACTTAAATTTTATTCACTGAAAACAACACATTGAAATCACATGTTTTTGTCCCTCGTCGAATATTCTTCAAAACAGCTAGTCACCGGCCGGACTGGTTCTGTCTAATTTTTCTTAACGGATTACAACTCTGCAGGAGTCTCTCGCATCCAAGCGTGAATCATATACCATGAGACCATCAGGCCATAATTATTCATAGTAAATCGAGCATGACTAAAAGCACATATATAATTGAGTAGTTTAAGAACAATAGCGCTGAGTAGAACAAAAAAAACCGAATTAACAAAAAGGGCCTGACCGGTGATCGAAACCGGAGCCTCTCGCACCCAAAGCGAGAATCATACCATTAGACCATCAGGCCACATTAGTTTTACGTGAATAAAAATATAATTGAGCAGACACACCTTTTTCGAACAATTTCTTACAAATGTAATAATAGTTGACATTGGTAAGCATCTATTGTAAAAGAAAAGTATTGCTTGATTAAACTTTTCATGAGGTTTTTAAAAATGAATTTTGTGATATCATTCATTGCATGATTTTTGTTTTAAAATCAAAGAAGAGAACGAATTTATTAGAAGTGTCAGCATAAACAAAACTAGTTTGTGATTACATACAATAGAAGTATATTTTATTGAAAGAAAAATAAAATCGCTGACCTTGGTTTACTATGGAAATATTAAGTGCCTTCAAAGTACGTCATCATATTTTACTATTATGTCTAAAATTGAATACATTTTGAAGAAATGAAATAATAGAAAAACATTATCTACACACGGATAATCTTAGATGAGGAAGAAAAAAATCTATTTGACTGGTGATTGATTTTTTCAATTCTAAATATTTTATTCATATTCAACAAAAATTTTTCTGCACGCGAATAATAAATTAATAGTTATTCAAATAAAAAGTCATTCATAGTTATATGAAGTCTCTTTGATAAAAGGCGCAGAACCTCAATGTAGTTTTACTTTTATCTAATTTCAATTTGGTGTTTTATACGAGTCAACTAGAATCATCATATTTTTGATGATCAATTTTATTTCATCACGTGAGTTTTGAAAATTAGGAAACAGAAGCTGTGCATTCATTAAAAGACCAAACTGTATGTTTTTTATGTAGAAATATTTTGAAGACTATCCCATGTGAATATAATCTTCTTGTCTGGTGATAGATTGAAATCTTTGCTATTTAAATCATTTGATATCATCGTTGGATTCGTTTCTTCAATGATCTTAATTACATCTGAAACATCATTTTCAGCTACCAATTCACAAAATTTGATTAATGTCATGCAGTCAATTGATATAGCACTTAATTCAATAGTTAAATCATAACCGATTTTTGGTTGATTATCTTTTTTCCACGGAAGAAATGATCGTTGATATTCATACATAAGATGAGCATATACATATACAGTCATATTCAATAACGTTGATTCTTGTTCTATAACATCAGTTATATGAGATCGAACGACTGTTGATGAAGTTCTACATTGTTTTTCACCCCAATCTGGACATAGTTCTAAACATTTTCGTACAATTTGATCAGCAAGAACATCTGGAGTTATTTCTATAATTTTTTGTTCACGAAATATTTTTCGTATTGAATTAAATAAATGTGTGCGAAGATTATTTGCATGTTTATTGTTATATTTAACAGGTGATTTATGATCATGTAATATCAACCGTTGAACTTGATTTTTCGATTTTCCTTTCGATTGATCCACGTTTGAGTGTGTCGGATTAGTTTTAGTTTCATTTTGACGATGTATGTTTTTAGGTATAAGAGCATTAGAAGCTTGACATAAATTGGCCCAATATTCACGTTGACCTATTGCAGTGTATGTATTAGGATGTAAATCAAATTCACGACATTCAGCAGTTTTAACAATTTCTGTTAAATCTAAGAATTTCAATAATGTTTCTGGAATCTGTTTATAAATTTCTTTAGTTTTTTCATGAATTTCAATTGGAAACAACGGTAAGATTTGAGGAAGTGTGATTGTGACTAATCCCATGTTGATGATTTCTATATAACAGTAATAATATGAAGAAAACCGTTTAATTGATGAATTTGAATCGTGTATGAAGAATATTGATTAAAACCAGTCACAAACTCAATACAGATATAAGTCTTTTTATATTGTGTAACAGATGATAATCATAAAATAAGTATATTATATATATATATATCCATACAAAATCTATAGAGGTACCGAGAATTGTTTTCTACAAAATAACTCGACAAGAGTATATTAGAGTAGAACGATCCGTTCCGTTTTTCCCTTTTATATTAAATTCAAGTCATCAACAAGGGATTTGAATACGAAACAAATCGATAGAGAAATATATTACATTCTTTTACTGTTGTTTTTAACATCAATTTCAGATCAGTCACGAGACGTCGTGACAGAATGGATGGAAAAATCCAAATAATTGTCTCTTGCTTTCTCTCTCTCTCTCCAACTCGATCATCTAAACTGTGAATGTAGCTAAGACGAAATCTAAATTAATTCTTTCACATTCTATATAATTATCAGTTTTGTATTGCTACAGATACAAAAACATGAAATATTACACAAAAAAACCGGAATAGAATCTGTATTGATATCAATACCTGTTCAGCTCTTCATTATTGAGTTTTGTATTATAATTTAGAATAGTTATCGCTGCTGAACAAAAACATTATGAATTACAATGACTTTAGTTCCATATTACAAGTCAATAATTAATTATTTTATTTGATGATAATAATCAATAGAACGCACGACAAATTCATCAAGCTATTCCTGGATCATTGATTGAAAATTTTGATAAACGAGATGTTGTGAAAACAAAATTAATTGTCACAATGACTTTAATAAGTATCTTCGAAACACGACGATATCAAGAACGAGCATCATTACAATCGAATAAAGGGTAAAAAAAAGTATCAACAACTTTTTGATTTAATACTGTATACAAATAAAAACAAGACGAATATTGAACAATTGTCAACACTTACGTACACATGCATATGCATGAAGAATGTAAAACTAATCGGATCTCTACGAATAAATGAAAATTTAATTATGATTTAACCATTGAATTGAGTGGAATTCCAGTAAGTAAATTTAAAGCCATTCAATTTAGTCAAATGGTTGCTAAGAGTTGTATTCGAGAGCTATATCCGTTAATATGATATGTGTTATATAAAGAACAATTCTTTGTATTAGTATCAAAGTATGAATTTGATGTTTATAAATTAGACGATTAATTATTTTCGCCGTTTGTATTTCAAATCAAAACTTTTCCAAATCAACAATAATGGCATTATTCAATTTTTTACTCCGATTACTTCATCTAAAGTACTGAAATATAAGAAAACACAATGATTCAGTCATAAAAAGAACTTGAAATGAATGATCTTCATATATTATAAATATCTAACTAGTCTATGATTTGATCACAAGAAGAACAAAAATAGTACTAATAAGGCAATAGAGATGTAAACAATTTTTGTATAGGGTCATTTTTTCTGAACTTCTCAAAAAAATTTTTGTAGAATATCAAGGTATAGAAACTGATCAGCAACAGTTAATTTATATCGAAATATAGACGAAAAAAAGCGAGTTTCTATTAATAGTGCTTATTGATGTTTGAAGGTAATAAACTAAGTTTTGCAATTCTTCCAGATACCCTATTCTTAAAGAAATTCAGCAATATGCAAGAATATTGGTTAAAGAACTTTCAAATATGTGATTTTATGTGTTTTCATCTCTCCTTTCGAACGGCGAAAATCTTAAACTTCTATCATGTTTGTGTTTGAAGCCATTCCATCAACAGCATTTGGTTTTAAATGAACATTACTGCACTTAGATGTTCTATCACAGAAAATCATATCAGAAAAGCATTGTATGCTAAGTATCAATATCAAGCTAAATTGAGTACAATGCGGAATATTTGAGACGAGTGAAAAATGATACATATTGAAATCTTATGCGAACATTCACTGTTCGAAAACTTCACAGAAAAAATCAAAAATAGATGTTCCAATAAAAAAAAACATGAAACTACAAATAATCGACGAACAATAAAATATAAAAGTGGAATACAAATATTCATATGAAACAATGACATCAGAATTGGCGTATGCCTTCTTCTAGTTTTATTTGAGGTCAATCAAATTTACTAAGAACATTGAATATAACGTTTCCGGTGCAGAAAAATAATCGAAATAATATTCTTCTAGATGGAGAGAGCGAACAAAGAAAAAGAAAACAAACTCTATTGTCTGTTTCTCATTCACACTCTAGTGAAAATACTCATCAAGCTAGCATGACTTGACCACATGAGTATATAAATTACTTGCGTGAGTACTTGAGCAATCATATGTTTATGAACATTTCGTGTATCGTGATGAGTTTTTGTCTCTATAGATTTACTCATAAGGAATAACATGCGTGAGAAAGTAATAAAATAAATTTTACATGAGAATAATTTGTTTTGTTTCATTTTTTCTTATTTAAAATAAATATATATCGAATATTTTGACCTATCCTAATCTTGAATATCGTTTATCATTGACATGTTGCTAAATATAATAAACTTAAAATAAAAAAAAATAGATACTGAAGACAGTATCCAATACTTGTAACAAAATGTTGCAACTCAATCGAACATACTATGTAGAAGAAACAGAGGCGATTCTGCACTTATTTTTGTTTAAAAATTGATTTTGAGAAAAATGATATTAAATTTCTTTTGCATCTATCAGCAATTTTTTCTTCAGCTGAAGTACTCAAAAGCTGGTGATGTTCAGCAGTGTTAGAGGCCATATGATTCATACTCTCATCACGTTTAGAAATTATCATTAGAAGAATTTTGCATATCAAAAATAATCGCAGTGTGAGTTTTTCTGCTAGGAATTTTGAGAGTCACATTTAACAAAAGTACTAAATAACAACAAAGAGTTCTCGTTTCTAGGACATTTGACTTCACATATGACTGAGGAAATAAGCGTTTATGTTGACTGATATTTTACGAGTTTTTATAGTTTACTTTTTGCTGTTGAATTTAGTCTTAACTATAAATGAAATAATTCTTGGGTTAGCGTAAATATTTGTAACTAGTTTTAGTTAAGTCGAATAAAACGTACAACTGAATGATACAATTGAAAGAAAGAAACTAAGTAGATTTAGAGGTATTAGACATGCTGGATTAATAAGTAAATATAACAATCTGTTGTTCTTTTTTATTTAACAGTTTCTTATAAAGATTTTTGTATTATTCTCAATAGTATTGACAATTTAACAATAAATTTATCTAATGAAATCATCATTATTTGTTGAATATAAGTAGAGAATGATTATGATTTACTCGTTTTTGTCTTGTAAGATTTCATGATTTCGGTTTTCTTCAACTGTAGTGAAGTTGATTTGATGTTGAATGGCTCACTTCGATAACAATTCCACAAGTATACAAGAATTGTTACGACTACATTTTTTTTGTATATTTAGATTGCAAAAAAAAGTCAAATAAATAGAAGAAGATGCATTCGCACAAACACTCAGATCTAGAGCTGGTCGGGTTCAAAGCTTTCGGAGCCAAGCCAGACTGAGTCCAAATCTAAGACCAACCCGACAGACTCTACTGAATTCTCAAGAATGATACTTAGTTTCGTTGCCTTTTTTTTCTATATTTATGCACACATATTTCCTTCAATATTGAAAGAACTATCCTTTTGTTTGATGCATAATGAATGTATGTATTCGGTTGATTTTGCGTACTTCAAAATATATTCAGATAGGTACGACATCTATTAATCAAAGTCATCGGCAAATATGTTATGACAAACGAATATTATTTTTCTATGATAGATTAAAATAAAATTAACGTAAATTTCATTTTTTTTTATAAAAATGCACATACTCATCTTTCATAACCACGCACGAGTTAGAAGAGTTTCTATTCGAATTGGAATCGATATTAACCATTCAACTAACCCGAAGAAATAATTTTGAGTCATTATTATTTTTCAAACTTTTTATTTAGATTATTTAATTTTTTTCGATTGTTTAATAATTGTTTTTATGTATTTCAGATAGTCAATCAAACAATGACTCGTGTCAAGTGCTCAAAACTGCGAGGAAAAAAGCCCGGTATGAAATATACGATAAATTTATTTTATGTATTTATTTTGTTATTGTTACATTTGTTTAGATGAACTCCAAAAACAATTGGAAGAATTACGTCAGGAACTTAATACACTTCGTGTGGGCAAAGTAACCGGCAGCGGTGGTGCACAAAAATTGGGCAAAATTCGCAATGTACGAAAATCCATCGCACGTGTCCTCATTGTTATGCATCAAACAACAAAAGACAATTTACGTGCTTTATATCATGGTAAAAAATATAAACCCAAAGATTTACGCAAACGTAAAACACGAGCTATTCGACGTTTATTAACACCAAAGGAAAAGTCAATTCGATTGAAAAAAGTTCAACGACGACAATGGGCTTTTCCTCAGCGTACTTTTGCTGTCAAGGCTTGAACAAGAATAAAAAACGAAACAAAATATATTGTTTTGTGATAGAAAGAAAAAAGAAAAACATTGAGATGATTATTTGTGATCATTATATAACATCAAGTTTAATAAAAATAAATACATAAAAAAGAAGTCTTTTAATATCATTTAGATTCATATATTCTTTTATTGTACTAAGAATGAAACGAGAAAAATAGATAAAACAAAATACTGTTACTTTTAACTGAACATAAGAGAACGAAATAAAAAGGAGAAAAAAGAAAGAGATGGGCCTGACCGGTGATCGAAACCGGAGCCTCTCGCACCCAAAGCG